CGCAGAGCGGCGCGGTGCGGTGGGAGGCGGCAGGACGGGGGGAGGGGTTACCTGCATCCTGCCAGCCGAACTCTGGAAGCCTGCCTGAATACCCGTATTTTCCGGCGTATAAGACGACCGGGCGTATAAGACGACCCCCGACTTTTGAGAAGATTTTCAGGGTTTAGAAAGTCGTCTTATACGCCGGAAAATACGGTATATTTTCAGTTGATAATTCCAGTTAAGTTTTTTTTCCTATTGCAGAATAATTGAATACAATGTACTTAATAACTGTAAATATTTGTCACTTAAGTTCCTGACATTATCTCTGGCTGATGGAGAGAAAACTTTTATTTCTATATGTATGTCTTTGAAATATAATGTCAAAGCAATAATATCCAATATTTGTAATGAAACCGGTTGCAATCCACTTGTGGTATGTGACTGCCACCTTGTGACAAATGTGTTCATTACAACTTTAAAGTTCTAAGACTTGTAGCATTTTATCATAGGTAAGATAAAGTAATATGGGAAGAAAATTATATTTTTGCTGATTAATATTTCTATAAATGGCAGTTTTCCTGGAGAAAAGTAAACCATGTAAATAGCGTATCAAGATAAAATGGATTCTTAAAAGAAGACCTGGTATATATATTTGCACAATGCAATGCATAAAATATGCTCTCTGAAATATTTAAGATAACTTTTTGAATCTTCTTTTAAATACCATTTTTGAGCAATGTTCTACTGGGACTGAAGATATAGCAGTTGCCCTGTTTCCCATAACTTATGCATACAAAAACCATGAAGGACATGTTTTTTTAAAAAAAAGCAGATGCTCTTATTTTAATGCAAATTCCCATATGATATGCTAAAAGCATATTTTAAAAAATAACACCAATTATAAACCATGGCAGCTACAAAGCCATCTAGAGACAGGCCTAAAATTACAGATTGAAATGCTGATGTTAAGGCAATAAACTCAGCAGTAGAAAGTTCTCTGCCTGCATTGTAGAATTGCCCAGTCACTACCTACCTAACAATATCAAACATTGTTCTTAACACAAAGGTAAACAAATGTAGTATAGACAATCCTTGAGATCCTGTTTCCTACATTTTCCAATGCTGTAGATTTTAGCAAATACTAACATATTAGAAGAGAATGTGACTGTTAAGTCACAGTAACAGGTGTTCCAATCTTGGTGTAAGAAATATAGATTTGATTTTTTCAACAGTTGTACCGGTAGTCCTCCACTTATGACCACAGTTGAGCCCAAAATGTATGCTGCTAAGTGAGAAATTTCTTAAGTGAATTTTGCCCCATTTTACGACCTTTCTTGTCACATTTGTTAAGTGAATCACTGTAGTTGTTAAGTTAGTAACACGGTTGTTAAGTGAATCTGTCTCTTCCCCCGTTGATTTTGCTTGTCAGAAAGCTGCAAAATTGTCATAAATATGAGTTAGTTGTCAGGCGTCTGAATGTAAATCACGTGACCATGGGGATGCTGCAACGGTTGCTAAGTGTGAATACTGATCATAAGTCCCTTTATTCAGTGCTGTTGTAATTTTGAACAGTCACTAAATGAATTGTTGTATCTCGAGGACTACTTGCATTCAGAAACTCAGAAAAGATGAACAGTCCTTTGGAGAGTTGGCATTCACCTCAAAAAAAGGGGGGGGGAAGCGCATATTTTAACCTCTCATCTTTCATATGGGAGAAGGTTGATAGAAACCGATGTTTTCCAACTATTTCCTCAGTATATTTCTATGATACTGTGGCACCAGGCATCATTCACATATAACTCATCCTCTAATGATATTTTATCAGATATTGAAACCACAAGTCTTATCTAAATCTTTGTTACAATTTCTTATCTGAAATACCATGTTTTCCCGAAAGTAAGGCCTACACCGAAACTAAGTCCTAGCTTGATTTTGGGGGGTGGGCCTAATTTAAGCCCTAGTTTTGGGGCAAGGCACACACCTAAAAATCAAGCTACGGCAGGGGTGGGGGGATGGAGCTACCCCACCTGCCCCACACCCACTTACCTTGCAGCCAGGTCTCTCCTTGCTGGCCCACTTCTTCTTCTGAGGCCTCTTCTGCAGCCAGGCCTGCATTTCTCAGTCACAGGCCTTTCCGGAAGGTCTGTGCAGCCATAACTCAGTACTCGGCTGCTTAGGCCTTCTGGAAAGGCCTGACTGTAAAATGCAGGCCCGAATGCAGCTGCAGAACTTTGGCCCCAGAAGAAGTGGACCAACTGGGTGGGGCTGTCAGTGCCAGAGGTGAGGTAAGGCCTACCCCGAAAATAAGACATGGTGCCTCTTTTGGAGGCCAAAAAAAAAAAAAGAAAAAGACCCGGTCTTATTTTCAGGGAAACACGGTATCTCATGCAAGAAGACCATAGGACCATTTTTAAAAATTATTTCTTTGATTTCACTTTGGGTTTCCACTGGCAAGATCTAGAGGTGTTAAGAGTCTGCCTTTCCATCACTTGATACCAATTCTCTATCCCAAGTTACTGTTAACAATTGCCCTCACTTTGAAAAATATTTAAATTCTCATAAATGCCTTTCCGCGGTTAATTCAAATTTTAACAAAAAGTTGTGTTTTGTTTTTTTTAGTGGCATTCATTTTCAACTGGATTGGATTTTGCTTATCATTCTGTATAACTAACACCATAGCAGGAAGGTATGGTGCAATCTGTGGATTTGGATTGTCTTTGATCAAATGGATTCTTATTGTCCGGGTGAGTTTTTTTTTATTTGGAGATTTTGCTTTTTGGTTTCCGTATGGAAACATATTAAATTAAATACAATAAAAGTCTCTAATTGTACATTCCTTGGTCTGTTATAAAGTTGGTTTTCTATGCTAGTAAAACGTCAACATATGGAAATTAAATTCGATTGTATATTGCAACCAAAATTAAATGGCTGTTTTGTGTGGTGTTATTAGGACTTTTGCCTTTAGACTTCCTGTTTTTACCCTTAAATAGCAATGAAAATCTTTTTTTTTTTTACTGAAATATGAATATGATTTGGCTTGTTATGAATTACTTAGTTTGAGTTCTGTGTAAATGAGAGCCAGTTTGGTGTAGTGCAGGGGTAGGCAACCTTGGCTGTTTTATGACTCGTGGACTTCAACTCCCAGAATTCCTGAGCCAGCATGGCTCAGCTTGGAAACCTCTCCATTTCTCCTCAGCATGGCTGGCTCAGGAATTCTGGGAGTTGAAGTCCACGAGTCATAAAAGAGCCAAGGTTGCCTACCTCTGGTGTAGTGGTTTAAGCACCAAGCTAGAAATCTGGTAGACCATCAGTTCTAGTCCTGCCTTGGCCGTGAATACCAGCTGGGCAAGTCATTCACTCTTTAGCCCAACTTTCCTTACAGGGTTGTTGTTGTGGGAAAAAATAGGAAGAGGAAGATATATTCGCTGCATTGAGCAAGTTGTAAAAATAATAAAGATGGGATACAAATAAATAAATGTTGTAACTTTATTTCCATTAATCAAAGAAATACATTGATTTTCTGCACTCGGTGTCCCAGAGTTTAGAGAAGAGCAACAAAGATGATTAGGGGTCTGGAGAATAGTTGCAGGAATTGGTTATGGCTATTCTAGTGACAAGAAGGACTAGGGGTGACACGATAATGATGTTTCAATATTTGAGCGGCTGCCACAAAGAAGAGGGGGGTCAGCCTATTTTCCAAAGCACTAGAAAGCAAGACAAGAAACAATGGATGGAAATTAATTTAGGAGAGAAACAACCTGGAACTAAGGAGAAATTTTCTAACAGTGAGAACCAATTAATCCATGGAACGATTTGCCTTCATAGTTGTGGGTGCTCCATCAGAACAGTTAAAAACTGTTACAGGGTTTTCAACATGTGTGTACACATGCCTTGTACTCAGATTAGCATCTTGGGGACTTCTGGTTTTGATATAAACAAAATTATTATATTATTTTGGCTGGCAGGTACTGGGAAGGATTTTATGTACCAATAGAACTATTACAGTGGTGAACTAACTCTAAAGAGACACATGTTTAATATTTTCTCCACAAATGGCTTACGTTTCTTTGTTTGCAACTACACATAGCAAAATGCCTAAAGTTTTCTCTACTGTTCTAATAACAGTATTAGAACATTTTTTTCTTTCTTGAAATTCTTTAACTGTACATCCTTTTAGCATTTCTGTATATCCATACTACATCTTTATTGCATCAGCAATCTTTCATATATCATAGTGATAACTTTAACTTATATCTTGGCTTTTTTTTCTTATCAGTTCTCAGATTACTTTACCGGCTATTTCAATGGACAGTACTGGCTTTGGTGGATATTTCTTGTACTTGGTAAGTGCTGATCAAAAGGTTTAATTTTCTGATTTTAACTCCATATAAAATCCAAATTTAAGAAAGAACATACATATTATGAATGGGTGCAGGTGTCCCTGTGAGTGTATTTAGCTGTATCAAGAATAGATCTGACTGGTTATCACAAACCAATGCTATAAGTAGAATTTTCATAGGGTAATAAGATGCTTGAGGATAGTAAAGATATGACTTTTGGTGACTTGATTGCAATAATACGGATGACTCAAGGTTTTTTTAGTCTCTATGGTAGTTACAGAATGGTCTGAAGCTATCTTTACCTAGGGTACAACACATTTTTTATTTATTTTTTGTTTGCTTCATCAGTGCACTGCAGCTCTTCCTAGAAGGAACATTATTTTGAACTGCTCTAATTCAAATTCAAGCCTGGAAGATCTTATTTCTCTGCTTGTTGTCACAGCATTCTTCTGAATATCTCCATGAGATGTTGATCGGAAGCACTATTCTATAATGGCTCCATTCCTACTTAAAAATATAATTTCAGAGTGCAGCACTGGGTAAACTATCTTAGCATCCCATACATAGGTATATACCGGGAATGCTCTGTATTAATGTCTTATAGCAGATACTTTTTAGCATTTATATGAAGAAAGTGTGAGCTGTCATTAGGAGTTGAGATTAGCTGTCATCAATATGCTGTCATCAATAAGGCTGGAATCTGGAAAAAGGCTTTGCATGTCTAGGGTGAATGCCTATAGATGCGATAATGGATTGAGGACCAATATAGATTGATGCTGAACCCCCCAAAGATGGAGATCTTATGACTGCATGCTCCTCACATATAGAACATGGGAAATTTGACTGTTTTGAATAGGATTACAATTCCTCAGAAGAAACATTTAAGTAGTTTGGGGGTACTCCTAAAGTTATATCTGGCTAGAAAAGGCTGTTAGTAGTTTAGTTAGATTTACTAGCTACATTCTTTCCTAGAGAAGGATACTGTAGCCACCATTGTCCATATACTAGTAGCTTCGTATTTGGATTACTGCAATGTACAATATGCAGGGCTGTCCTTATTATTTGATTTGGGAGCTGCAGCTGGCAGAAAACACAATGTTGAAATTCCTTAGAAGGTCATTGGCCCTGTTAATATACATGTGCGGAAGGAACTACACTGGTTGCTAATAAGTTACTGGCCCAGCTCAAGGTTTTATAACTGGGGTGGAAGGTCATAAACAGTTTGGAATCAGTTTGTTTGGCTTCTCATGGCCAGTCATCTCCTTGATGGTCTAGCTCAGGGGTAGGCAACCTTGGCTCTTTTATGACTCGTGGACTTCAACTCCCAGAATTCCTGAGCCAGGCAGCCAGCCTGGTCTAGCTGATTTCAAGCAGTGGACATTAATTTAGAGCTGCAGTTTTACCTAGAAACATCTTATTAAGCTACTTTTCGCATATCTTATTAAGGTACTTCTTCAACCAACTTAGGTACTTTACTTACATAATGATTCCAAAATTCAGAGGGGCTTTATCCTGGTAAAGGATACAGATGGTAAAGTGGGGCAAAACGTACTTAACATATGTCTTGCTTAGCAACAGAAATTTGAGGTTCAATTGTGGTCATAAGCCGAGGACTACCTATATTGATTACAATTTTGCAATGGAAGTTAGGTTTTGGTCCTGTCATTTGTTTTCTAAGAGGGCCAGGGTTTGGATGAAAAATTCTTGTTCCTGAAATTAAATCTTTAATTGTAAAGTAAAATACAGTGAAGAAATGTTCTACACATAGGCAAGAACAAACAAAGGCTAAAAGATAACAAGGAACGGTTGGTGGAATTGGGTATGTCTAGTTTAATGAAGAGAAGGGCAAGGGGGGACATGATAGCAGTGTTCCAATATCCCACAAAGAAGAGGGAGTCAAGCTATTCTCCAAGGCGCCTGAAGGCAGGACGAGAAGCAACGGGTGGAAACTGATCAAGGAGAGAAGCAACCTAGAACTAAGGAGAAACTTCCTGACAGTTAGAACAATTAATCAATGGAACAACCTGCCTCCAGAAGTGGTGAATGCTCCAACACTGGAAGTTTTTAAGAAGAGACTGGACAGCCATTTGTCTGAAATGGTATAGGGTTTCCTGTCTGAGCAGAGGGTTGGACTAGATGACCTCCAAGGTCCCTTCCAACTTTATTATTATTATTATTATTATTATTATTATTATTATTATTATTATTATTATTAAACAAACAAATGCATAGGTGGATGATACCTGGCTCAATATTAGCAAGAGGGATCTAGGTGTTCTAGTAGACCACCACTTAAATATGAGCCAGCAGTGTGCTGCAGCTGCCAGAATATTTAATGTGTTTAAATATTTCATACTCTGTTTCTGGTTTTAGGCCTCCTCCTATTTTTCCGAGGTTTTGTTAATTATCTGAAAGTTAGAAATATGTCTGAAAGTATGGCGGCAGCTCATAGAACAAGATTTTTCTTCTTGTATTAGAGGTAAGCCATGTTTCTCCCTTTATAAGTAAATACCTAAATTGCATCTGAAGGAAAACATTAGCTAACAATGAATGGAAAGAAATGTCTTCATGCTGAACACCAGAAAACATGCTATTGATATATGAACATTGTCTTACATAGATTGGAAATCCTTAAACTGAAAAAATTCTTATCCTTGATTTTTCAAGCTTATTTTGTCAAAAAAAAAAAAATCCTCTACAAATATTCATCACAAGTAGTACTAAACTTGGGTTTATTTTCTGTGATAGCCTTTTAAAAAAATTATTATATCTGCCTATAGTCTAGGCATGTGCTAATAAACTGTTACACAATTTATTGTTTTATTACGGTAAAAGCTGTTTTGGAAAATAAAGTTGGTATTATGTGTAATCTATGGGTTTTCAGTTGGATCCACCCAATTTATATATATATTACCCTAACCATTACAAGGGAATGTACCCCCCTGTATACAATCTTTCATATTTTCATAGTGAGGGTAGATCAGACTCTTAAAATACCCTTTTCATATCTCAAAAGTTTTAAGTACATATCTTAGTATCAAATCTCAAAGAAGGCGATGAGTTTTAATTGATGGATAATTTTAAGAATTTAATTTATTCATTATAAAAGTGTTTATATAATCTTACAGATTTCAGAGCACTTGACATTTAAGGCCACATATACAGTAATACAAATCCAGTGTTGTTATTAACTTATTTCAAATCTGTCATATATGTATTGTAAGTTGAAGACAGCTTTAATAACTGTCAACTAGAAATTGTGTGGCAAAGTGAGATTTGAAGCATAGTATACTCAGTTTACTATTAGTCTTCACAGTGACCGTGGCTTACTGTTTTTTATTTCACATCAAAATAGCCATTATTCAGAATTCTTTTGTTTCTACCCAGACATGTTCATAACTTAGGTGACATTTAAATGCATGGTGTCTTAACGAATTAAATAAGCAATTTAGGAGCTTAAATCCTATAATGTGGTGGGGGGGGGGAGAGAAGGACAAAATGAAAGTGAGATAAGAAAGGTACAAATGTTTCTACACATCCTTAAGACTGAGTTACAATTGGAGATTGAGAATATAAACCAAAGATTTTATGGAAAACTTTGGTTATAAGAGGGAATGAAGGAAAGGCTGAGGTAGGCATATCACATACATACTAAAGATTATAGTTCAAATAGAAATGTCGATTTAAGGAGCAGTTAGTTATGGCCAAAGAAAACCTTCAGATGGCTACAATTATAAAATATAAGATGGGACAGAGAAGAACCATGAACAAATTTCCCAAGTGTAACAGTTAACAATATTTAAAATTAATTTATTTTCCTATCAGTTATTAGCTAAGAAGACTTTGGTGATAAAGGTTGTAGCCCACCAATTTATTATGGCTTCACATTAATTAACTCTAGTGAACTTTTTAGAAATTATTGCCATAGCCAGCCCTGTGACAACAGCCTTCAAAATACTTCATGGTCTAAATCAAAATGAAAATTGCAATATAAATGTATTACAAACAATTTAAAAGCATGCATATAATTCTAGATGCCTAAAGAGAGAACCCTTAGCATTTTAATAGTAGATACTGGTTTAAGCAGAGGGATTTATGGTACTCTGGAAAAGTCTGCAAAATTCAGCATGCCTGATAGATGGATATTCCAGCTGAATGGCTGCTGAAAACTTTAATGCAGTGGCACTAGCCGATCAAGCATTTGATGGCGTTGGTGCTTCCAAAAGAGATTTAAAAGAAAAATAAAACTATTTTGACACTCACCCAAGTAGAGGATGAAAAACACATCGCTGGTAGACTTAGTGAAGTAGTCTTGATTTCCCGAAGCTTCTTTGTACAGTATGTACTTGGCCATTTTTGAGTAATCAAGTAGCATCTTTAATTGCAATATTTGACAAGATGAATGGATTAAGAGCTTCTTGTTCGTCCACTCAATCCAGCACACGTATATTGAAATATAACTCTTGCTTTTTTTCATTCACAGACTGCAGCAACCAGGCATTCCTTTCTCTTATCAATGTGAACTTCCAACCAACCAGTTACCTTCCTATGAATAGGGAAAGATGACTACTGTTATCAGAAGCAGGATCCTTTTTCCGCTTAGTGAATGACAGAATGGTTCATGCTTAAGTGCCAGTTCTGTTCATTCTAGTAAATATTTATATTAAGCATTGCCTTTTGTCTTGCACATATATACATATACAATATATATATGTGCTAATCAGCAAGAACTTTAAAAAAAAATAAAATCCATGCATATAGTCTGCTAAGCAGCTGAATACAGTAAGACTTAACTAAATCATGTTTGAATCTGGAATATTTTTAAGGGGTAACGGTTCTTCACAGTATTATGTACTATCCATTTGTTGGTCTAATGATTTTTTTGGGGGTGCAGACAACTTGTACCAACTCTTCGGGACTCCGCTGGGATGTATATTACCTTCATCCAATTATGCACATAGAACATTTTTAATCGTACAATTTGTAGCTCTATAAATATGTGTCGAAAAGCTTTCTATTGAAGGCTGGACAAGGATGTCCCAGTGTAATTTTTTTTGTCGTGGTTTAATTGTGTAAAATTAGCCTCTTCATAGATGTTGGCAATATAATGCCGTAAAGTTTAATGGAGTTTTTAATCACTGCCATTTTGAAATCTGGTAGGAGCTGATTTCATGAAGAAAGCATTAAGCTGTGGATATTGTACAGCTTAATACATTCGGTTTGATTCTTAGGTTAAGAGAATAACAGTGATTGCTGCTGTCCTGCTACCATCTTACATAATTGCAGGAAAGCAGAGAAGAAATTCAAATAAAATCACAAGAGGAGATTGCATCTGATTAGTTGTCAAAATTTGAGAAGGAGTTCTGTTCTTTCAGCTCTTCCCACATTATTTAGGCAATTTTGCTTTGACAGAGAAACATTGGGGCTGTTTCAGGTTACAGATATTTGGGGGGGGGGGGAAGAAGTATGCAAATTAAAAGCTCCCCTCATCAATTGAACTGCACATGGCTAATTCAGCTGGACAATTTGATTAACATAAGCCCCCACAAGAAAGCTTTAAGCACACATCTATAATGCCAAAAGAATTAATATGTGGAACTGAACAAGTGCATATTCCAAGCGCATGACTGAAGGATGAATTTGGATCCCATTTCTGTGGGGAAAGAAAATCTAAATTCATTCTTGGATTTATCATCTCATTAAGGTTTAGCAAAAGGAGTTGTTAACCTGATACTGCCTTTTTCTTGTTAAGCATATCTCTGCCTCACTGTTCCCCTATCTGCCTGCAGTCATAATGTGCAATTGAAGACTCGGAATTTATGTTCTCTCTGCATTCCAGCCAGTCTTCTTTTGGCAAAGAGAAGATTCATAGTAAGGGAGATCGGCAGTACTACCCAGTTGAAAGGAGTTTTTCAGTGTGGGATATCACTTTACATTGTTGTTAGGCTAGGGCAGTGTTTCTCAACCTTGACAATTTTAAGGCATGTGGACTTCAACTCCCAGAATTCCACAGCCAGCATTGCTGGCTGTGGAATTCTGGGAGTTGAAGTCCACATGCCTTAAAATTGTCAAGGTTGAGAAACACTGGGCTAGGGGAAGACCTTTACACAAGGATTTAAATAATAACCCAGCTTTTTAAAAAAAGGTTGTTCTGTTTTTTATGGCAACGAAGCCGAGTTTAGGTTAATTCTCAATAGGTGCTTTTTCTTTCTTTTTTTCTGATTGCAGAAATGTAAGCAATTTAGTGCTTATGATATTCATATATACAGTGATTATGTTTATTTTGAGTTAACAGATATATCTAGGGCTTCATGGGAAGACAGCAGGAGTAAATGTATTTATACCTCCCTTAAGCATCTCTGGCGCTAAGCACCCTGGGTAGGGAGAGAGGTGGACTCTCATATGGTTGTTAACAAGCCTCATCTCTCTTTCCTGCCAATCACCAGCTGCTCTGTATTTTTGGAGAGGAAAAATGCACCTTTATTTCTTAATTTGCATTCTTGCACTCTTACATTTTCATATAACATTTAGGGGAAATGCGTGTTTTCTCCTTGAGTTCTGTATCAACTTGTATATCCATTGTATGCATAAGGTTGGTGATTTATAGTCTTGAATATTTAAGAATTATTTTATGCTAAGACTTAGAGAACAAATGCCCATTCCTGGTTTGAATGAAAACAAAATTCTTTCCCCCCTCCCAAAGTTTCTATGTATTTTTTCCTTGAATTCGTCAGTATTTGTTCTCCCTTTCTTCCCACGCCCTCCTCTCCATAATTTTGTTTTCTGATTTTTATTTTATTTTATTTAGGTTTTGAAATAAAGGCTTCCAGTTTTTACATTAAAAAGAAACCTTTCGACACCTCTTTTGTAAACAAAATGATCAATTAGCTGAACATTTTATCTTTGGACTTTTTTAGGGGGCAATTTCATGTTTAAGGTTGCTTCAGTTTGAAGCAGTTACTGCAGCAGTGCATTGGCAAAGAATAATTAACGTTCTCTTCTATACCATGTTTTCATATTAAATGATGCATGCACCCTAGTTAGCAAAAGATGTAGGTAATAGATGAAAGAAGGCTACAGTCATTGCCTATATGCAGAGAAAAATACATCATTTTGTTTTAAACCTTTAGGTCAGACATGTCAAACACAAGGCCCCGGGGGCCGGATGCGGCCCGCGAAGTGGTTTCATGTGACCCGTGAAGCCATCCTGGAAACAGTGAGGGAACGGCCCCCTCTGCCTTGGCCCTGGCCCAGGCCAGCCGGGAGCCAATGTGCAATTTTGTGGTGGCCATCTATGCTGAAACGTATTCAGTCGTACTCCATAAGCCCCCCCCTGCATGGTCTGAGAGGAACAGTGAAGCTCCTCCAGTGGACCATGCCTTGGCACTTGCCCTGATCCCACCCCTTCTGCCAGAGACCCTCAGATCTATCCCACTCCTGCCCAGGCCCCCACAGGCACCCTTGACGTGAACAATGTAGAGCTGGCCACATCCACCCAGTAGGCTGCACCCATCCTGGCCACACCCACCCGGCCCCCTGAGGGCAACCGCAATGCTGATGCGGCCCTCAATGAAATTGAGTTTGACACCCCTGCTTTAGGTTATATGTACAGCAGGAGAAAAAACAACAACACAAACCCCAGTAGGGATATGAACAGTGAGAAGAGGCTATTTTCTGTCACTGCAGTCATGTCTTCCTTTAGGCAACTATAATGCAAATTTACGTTCATATCAACTTTCAATCCCTGAAATTGAAATCATTTTTTTTTTTGTAAAATATCTTTAGCTACTTTTTTTAAAGCCTATAAATCATGCTTTAATCATTACAGGACTCTGTAATATAGTTGGAGTTCTGAATCCTCAGTCTGGGAATGAATTTATTTTAAGGCAAATGTATTCAGTTTTTCAGAAAGCAAAGCAAACTACTAAGAAAATACGAATTGCTACGGCTAAGGCAGTATGTTTTCTTTGCAAGAAACAACATATAAATAATAATTTGCCACAAGAATGCATGATGTATGTCAAATTTATAATGACTGGATATTATTTCTAACCATTATGTCTCTTATGACCGGGGTCCCCAACCCCCGGTCCGTGGTACCGGGCCGCGGCATGCCAGCAACTGGTCCGCACAAACAAAACACAAAACCACACCCCTCTGGTCTGTGGAAAAACCTCTCTCCACGTAACCGGTCCCTGGTGCCCAAAAGATTGGGGACCTATCTGATGAAGGCAATGGACTTGGTTTTAGGATATTTTAAGTGTAGATTTTAACACGTTTATTTAAATTAAATTTTACAAACTGGATTAAATTTAAAATGCATTTAATAGGGTAGTGACAATACACAATTATCTAAATCTGATCTTTCTCTACTTTTCACGACTTTCATCCATTTCTACAAGTGGATGGACCAAAATGCCTTTAAGATGCTTTATCGTAACTACAGGCGGGGCCTTAGTGCATAAACCTGAGTTCTTCATCCAAACTTCTCAGCTGTATTGGAGATTGAAACAGCACCCATGTTAAATAGCCCACTGGTAAAATTGTTCTTTGCAAATTAAAATTCAGTTTCAGCTCAACCCAGTCAAATGTGAAAACCAAATTGGTTAGTTAACTTGCAAACAGTTGGAGAAGAAAGTTAACAATGTTGACATCAAACATTACAAACTTTGGAAGATTTCTGGCTGTATAAAATTGTTCTAGCCGTGATGCAAAAAGTTATGTTTTTACTTGCAGGTTACGCTATTACAATAAACATTTAATTTTGTCTTCACCTTTGTATTGATCTTACTTAAATTGAGGTTTGTGGACATGTAACTACATATAAATTATAATTTCTAGATCTTTGTACTTTTTTGTATGTTTTTGAAAACTCTAAAAAATAACAGTCACAATTTTCCAGAAATAATTATTTGAGAGTGGCTAATATAGAGCAGAGTATTGATGAAAAAAGAAGAATTAAAGGCATGTGACTATTTTCGGGTATAATATAGCTACAAAATACATAAATCCCAATGTGTCATTCATATCAGGAGATACAGCTTTGTAATGAAGTTTAGACTATAACAGTCTTGAAAAATAAGTGAAAATAAACAGCAAAGGAAAACCTGCAATGACTTTCAATATTCTCACATTGATACATTGATGTTCGGAGGCAAGCTTTTTCTGAAAAGTCTGGGTCTTCTCTTGATGACAACAAGTAAAACTGTGAAGGAGAGGAAATGAGTAGATTTTCTACTCCCAATATATTGCTGTGCTGGGGAACACGTTATAATTTAACATTATCAGTGTGAACATGTCTATATCATTTTTGTACATATTAGTGATAACTATGGAAATATGGGTTCCGTTTTCCATGTAAGAAGTAACGTTGGTCCCTTGCCTCTATACTGAGAAGATAGAAGGGCCAAATCTTCATGTTTTTGTGTAAGCAATAGTATATTTTGTTGTTCCCCATCCTCCTTGCTTCCCCACCAACAGCTCCTCCTCTGTCCATTTGAGATTAGGTTAGTTGGCCTGTGAAAAATATTTTCCAGAATTTAGCTTGTATCATATCCTTGATGTTAAATCTTCAAAGTAGACCAGGTCAGAAAACAGATACTGCTTGATCTCCCTGTAATATCAATCTTGAAAGCTTCCCAGAGATTCACTTGCTCACCTTTTATTCTAAAAAAAATCAAGGCAGCACAGTCTTAAATTTCTTACTCTAGCCAGGCTAAGCTGATGTTTGCTTTAAGAATCATTGAAATTCTTCAAAGGCTATCTGCATGCACCTCTACATTTGCTTTCCACTGC